TCTTAATAAGCTGACATTGAATACGGAGAAGACAAAAGCCATCCTGATCGGATCCCCCTCACTCCTCAAATCCATTTCAACACCTCCTAATCTCCTTCCATACCACCGTTAAAAACCTAGGCGTTACCCTCGATCAAAGCCTCTCCTGGAAACCACGCATCTCCCAAATCTCCCGCCGTACTATATCCACAACAATTCTGAAACAGTTTAACCATCTACGTTATCTTCTTCCGTTCAAGACCCGTCAACTCCTGGTCTCCTCTCTTGTTTTCCCCTACTTCGACTTTGGCTGCATGGTGTACCTCAAAGTACACCCAGATACTCTGATTATTTTGTAATTCATCGATATTTCGTTCACTTAATTACTTTCTCTGTATATTTTACTCTCGGGAGAACTCGAAGCCAAACTTAAACGTTTTATAAATTGCTCAATCCGCTTTATCTTCGGGATCTCAAATGATACGCATATTACCCAGTTCTACACCAAGTTGAGGTGGCTTTATCCGTCCTACCGCCGTAAATATTTTCTGGCTACCTCCCTATACCGAGCCATTACAACACGGCGACCTGCCTAAATTCTACAGATCCTACAATTCAAACGCTCCTTTCAATCCCGTCCCACCAGATCCCGTGCGTCCGACCTGTATCCTCCCCCTCGCCGAACTGCTGCATTTGATAAATCCTTTTTAATACAAGTTGTCTCCCACTGGAACTCTATACCTTCAGATATTCGACAGGCAAAATCGATATCCTCTTTCAAATCTCTCCTCTTCGAACACCTACTCCATTCCCAATCCGATTGATCACGAAATGCACTTAAAAACCTAAGCTGTAAAAACCTCAAAGTACACCCAGATACTCTGATTATTTTGTAATTCATCGATACTTCGTTCACTTAATTACTTTCTCTGTATATTTTATATTTACACGTATTTATATCTTTTTATCATTTATAACTTTATTGTACTCCAAATCAACCTGTAAATATTAAATTGTATTTCATGGACACACCAAAATATTGATATATATTCTGTATTTGTGACTTGTTCTAAAGGGACACTAGTCCCAGAATAATAAAATTATTTTCATTCATTCATTCAAACGGGCCAAAAATAAAGAATTTAGTAAGTGAATAACTGAAAAATAAACAATGTAATAACTGAAAGGTTTGATGAGATAAGAAGAGGGAGGTTATCTGGTAACTTAGATAACATAGATAACAAGGGAGGTTTCGTCCCGCCCGGCTAATGGACAAGTACCAATTAAGGTTGAAATATAAAAAAAAAGTCATTAAAAATTCAGCTCCTTCAAAAAGCACTTAATGATTTTTTAAAATAAACCGACGGAATGGACTTTCAAATCTCTTTTTGTAAATGGAGGTCAGAGACTGGAGTATATGATTCAAATAGACTGATGCAGTTTTCAGTTTTTTATTGCCTACTGTCGGTATAATAAATTGGGTTTGAGTTATTTTGATAGTTGATATAACGAGTTTTTGGATTGGTGAATGTGACTGAAATTCACAAATGTGTTCTCTAAGGTTTAGCTCCATTAAAAATGTACTTTAAAAACTTTTTGTAATATCCCAATTTTGCCATAAAATAATAAATAGTAAATTCAAAAATACATTCAAAAGTAGCAAGTGTCTGCATCTGCAGTATAACTTTCATGTCGCTCTGTGATTGTTACATTGTTATGTGATAATAGTAAAAACCCTGTGGTAATATTTTATCAAAAGTGACTTTACAATCAGATGAACATATATACGTTCACAGATACACTGGTGAGTTACAGTTTATTAACAATGAACATGTAATAAATTGGTGCTCGTTCGGGTAGCCCAAGTGGCTGTTAATTCCCTTGCAGTTCTTATCTTACATACGTTAAGTTCAAAGCCAAGCTCTGTATACTAGCTCTCTCTCGTCAGCTGGTCTCAGTTCGAAACCAGACTAATAGATTTTTTTTTTTTTCCTCCCAGAGACAGTTTTGTTTTAATTATTTTTTATCTTGTTTATTTATTCTCAGAAATGTTTTGTTTCATTTCTGTTTCTAACTTTGTAAATAGCTTAGTATTATTTTTTTTTTTTTTTTTAAGAATTTGTAAATATTTATTTTTGTAATTCTAATTTAGTTAAGGTATATATACTTTTTTTTCTTGTTCTTATAATGGAAAATATGAATTTGGACAAGAAATCTTCATGTGAAGATTCGGATGACGAGACACCATTTTAGGAAGTTAGCGAAACTGATTCGCAATATCTGAAAAGACGCTCACTTCAAAAAAGTCACAAAAACTCTGCCCCCGGATCAGCGGGCAATTCACCCAACAAGAAAAAAAATAAATCGACAAAATCTAAATTGTCAGCCGAGCAAAATAAATCACCACCCAAAACTAGAAGCAAAACAAATACCACAAAACCAGCGCCAACTGCACCAACTACTTCAGCCAGCAATAATGCTGTTCCTGTTAGTAACTCACCAATCAAACCTTCGGAGCCTCAAGCTCCTACTGACCCCGAGCCGCCACCTATTTTTGTTTCCAAAATTGAAAATTTCATAACATTTGGTCAAGAAATTGCCGATCTGATAGGACAGACCAATTTTCGCTGTTATTCCCGAGTAAACGACATAAAAATTAACACAAATTCAAGAGTTTTTCCCAACCCAAACCGGGTCCAGATCTGACGAAGAAAAATCACATATATTTGCTCAGCACCTCTTCAAAACATTTAATCCACACCCAGATATCCTTAATCCTCCCCACCTTAAGTTTATTGAAGCAGAATTGGATATCCCACTCCAACTGACACCTCCACCTAAAGCATTTCATCCTTCAGAAATATCCAATATCATTCATAGATTACCTTCCCGCAAAGCTCCTGGCCATGACCTAATCACATCCCAGATCCTAAAACTGCTTCCTAAAAAAGCCATACTATTCCTCACTTATATATATAACGCTGTACTTCGAACCACATATTTCCCTGACCCTTGGAAACTATCCATTGTCAAAATGATACCTAAACCCACGAAGCCACCAGAACACCCATCCTCTTACCGTCCTATTTCTCTCTTACCCATTATGGGCAAAATCCTGGAAAAACTCATCTTAAAACGCCTGTATCCTATCCTAGACTCTAAACAAATTATTCCAGATCACCAATTTGGATTCCGCACACCCCACTCCACTATACAGCAATGCCATCGTGTGGTAGATGTAGTCTCCTCTGCATTGGAGCGCGGAATGTACTGCACGGGAGTCTTTCTCGACGTTGAACAGGCGTTTGATAGAGTCTGGCATCCCGGACTGATGTACAAACTCCGTAAATTCCTACCACCTACATACTTCCTCATTATCCGTTCCTACCTTACTGACAGATTCTTCAAAGTCAATCATAACAATGCTTTTTCATCTCTTTTTTCTCAGTTTGCTGGTGTTCCTCAAGGTAGTATCCTAGGTCCTATCCTTTATACAGTTTATACAGCTGACATCCCAACCCATTCCAACACTGTCATCACCACATATGCCGATGACACATGTATCCTATCAGTCAATAACGATCCATCTATTGCATCCCAAACTCTTCAATCACACATCACAAGTCTTGAAAAATGGTGTCAAAACTGGAGGATTAAAATAAACTCCAATAAATCCCATCAAATTACCTTTACTCTTCGTCGTAAACCTATGACTTCCTGTCCTACAGTATCCTTTAACAATACCCCACTTATCCCTGTTGACCAAATCCGATACCTAGGACTCCACCTTGACAAACGACTCACTTGGAACCCCCATACCAGACTGAAACGACTAGAAACCGCCCGACGTTTCCGACTACTCCAGCACTTACTAGACAAACGCTCTAAACTGCCAACTATTTACAAAAGACTCATATATATTACTATAATAAGGCCTATTTGGACTTACGGGATCGAGCTTTGGGGCTCTACTAAACCATCAAATTCCTCTCGTATCCAATCCATACAATCCAAAATCCTTCGTAAAATCCTTAATGCTCCCTACTTTGTCACAAATAAAATCATCCATAATGACCTTAATGTACCATATGTTTCCGATTTAGCTCAATCCAGATACCTGTCCTTTCATAATAAACTTCTGAACCATCCGAACCCTCTCGTTTCCAACCTTGCTTCCTCTTCTATTCCTGATAACCCTCCGAGGCGTCTAAAAAGAAGATGGCCTCAGGACCTTCTAATATATAAATATAATTGGAGTGCTACCAATGGGTAGTTTCTCCTCATGTTGTACATGTCATATTACCTATTCATATTTACTTGTTGTATTATTATTAATTACAGTTGTAAATTTCGTTAATAAAAAAAAAACAAAAAAAAAAAAAAAACATTTTGTTCAAAATAGAGGTAAGTGAAAGTCAAGTGATCAGCGCACCAGAGTTTTTTTTGTTTTGTTCTTGAAGATTTACTTCTCATTCTGTTTTCATAAGGGAAATGAAAAGGTACAAATAATGAAAATAATAGTGTAACATTTAAAATTAAAAATTTACAACTATCTGGGTTTTAGGCTAAATAAATCGAATCATATTTAAGGGTGACAAAATTAATCAAGTGACATGATGATCGTAAAAGGTGATACCGAAATACATACGAATTACATCTTGTTTTCAGTAAGTAAATACTTATATTATGTTTTGGGTGATAAATATTCAGGACACAGTCCTTTTTAAATAAAAAATTTAAATAAAAGACTGCGTCCTGAATATTTATCACCATTATGTAGAACAGTCGACTAATTTCCTACAATAATTTATTATGTTTCATTAAAATTAGGAAATACTATTTTGGAGTCTAAAATCTTTTATATTGATATTATAAATAATAATTTAATACTACTCTAATACTGTTATTAGATCAATTTCATGTGATACAAAATTTGCTTACAACATTATTTTAAAAAAAGTGGTAAGTAATAAGCTTTAAAAAAAAGCTAAAAAGGAAGGGCACATTTATAAAAACCAAAATTAACTTTGCTTGTAAGAAACATATTGTCTTTAATTAATAATAATAGTAGTACAATATTGGATTTTATGAGGTAGATAGACAGATAATTACAATGGTAGATTATTATTCCTCATACATATATGTGTAGAGAACTTCAGTTCTTATCAGGTACAATTTTGTAGCCCAATCCAGCCATTTTCTGTGGATTAGGAAAAACAGGATTTTCAATAGCTCCTTCCCCGAACTTTAGTTCTAAGAAATCATGAATATTATTTGGGGCAGAAACAGATCTACCAACAAAATCAATGCTTGACAATGGCTTTAGATAATACTCGGGAAACTCCATATCTTGCCTATGGGACTTGAACCAAGTGTCTTTTGTCATGGTTCCATTTCTTGAATAAAAAGGAAATATATCAACATGAAGGTGATTTATATGGCTAAAATGAACTCTAAAAAAATCACCTTCTATAGCCTTTTCCCAAATGAAACCTTGCTCATCAGTAGTAGTTTTTGTTTTAGCCCTTAAAAGCCAAGTACATCGGTTTATGTCTTCTTTATATATACCAATATCTACATCATAATCCCATGACAGAATATCTCCATTTCTGATAGCCCCAAGCAGGCTGCCACCTTCTAACCAATATCGTGCCTGACATTGTTCTAATTGTTGAAATACATGTCTAGCTGTTCTCCTTAAGCCAGCCAGGCAGCATGGAGGGGTCCATTTGCCTTCCCAAAGATATTGAGGAGTATCATCAACTACTGTACCAAAGCATCGAGGAGTATCTCTTCGACAACCATACCATTCTACAAGTCCACTCTCTCTAATAACTTTCTTCAATCCCAGACTCCGAAACATATGATGTGTTCTATCCTTTTCTAATTGCTGAGCTTTCCACTGATTATGAGGATTTCTATAAAGTTCTTTTCCATTTCCAAAAGGAAACTCGTGCATGAGATAAGTCTGAAATAAAATGATAGTACTAATAGTAGTAATTTAATGAACAGTTCATAATTAAATATTAGTAAATGTATCACCAAAGAAGTACCTGTTAACCCACAACTAACTTACATGACAGACATTAGAATAAAGTGATACAATCAAACAATGATGGACAGTAAACAAAATAAGATAACAAAATAGAAAGAAGTGCTTCAGTGCTTAATTATTGAGTAAAAAATAAATAAATACACATGAAAGTTGTAGATTTCCTCAACAATATGACCAATATTTTATTACAGCTGAGTAATTTGGTACATATCGCAAAACAGAAGATATGTGAAGATAAAAAAAATCATCAATTATTCATGGGGAGATACTTTATTAATTGAGTAAGGCTGCCCAAATAATATTTCAGTCATTGAGATAAATTTACGGCGGCCAAAAAATTAAAAATAAAATAAAAGATGGCCACCACTTGTTTTTACAAGTCACCATTAATTTAGCCTCATGAGACTAATAGACACTACTCCAGACTCCAATTGAAACAAAAAAATTTAGAGAGATTTCAGAAATCTAGCCCATGTCTCCAGATCTCTAAGCTATTACACAGACAATTATACAAAGATTAAATATGTTTGAAACCACTAATAATAAAGGTATTTAACTGTGGGAGAGATAATTTCTATAAACTATATGAAATAATCATGGATTATTTAATCAATAAAATGACTAAATAACCTTCTAAAAAATCTTATACCTATTTTAAAATATTTGTTACTGAAATTTCAAGAAGTCCCATAATGTTAAGCGAAATCAAATAAAACCAATAATTTAAATTATATAATAAGCATTAATGTAGTTTTTTATTATAACCAAACTATTCTGTGGTTTTGTTAAGATTTGTTTTCCAATCCTGATTATTTACCAAGTTTGAAATACTGAAGAATAAAGAATAACATCCCAGTCACCGTTAAAGAAATAAATATTGGTCAAACCTTCCTAACATACCTTTGAGCAAGAACGGCTTACAAGTGATCAATGGTGATAATGCTATCACAACTGAAAATAGACATCATAAAATATAGTTCATTAGATATTTGTCTTCATAACAAACACTCCTTGATGAAGAGAAAATATAGGCAACATTCAAAATGCAAAAAGATACTAATCTGGTGAATCATAATTGACCTAAAAATATAAAACAGAACTATTATTGACTAAATGATTGATATAACAAAATATCAGAAAATAGCAAAGCTTAAGAAACTTATACATACACACTTTTAAAACAAAAAAGAATAAAAGTATAAATATATATTTATATAAAATGACAAACAAGCCAACACCTTAATAATGAATGTTTCTTAATTATTATAATTTAATAAAACTTCTTACTTTTTTGTTCATGTAATTATTTATTATGTATTAGTAGCAAAGAGATAATCCTATTTTGAAGGTTGGTCAAGGATCGCTAGTAATGAGATCTTAATTACGCCTCCAGTTTATACATTCAATTTATTGAAGACATTTAGCAGAATTTCCACTTTCCATATTTTCCAGTTTCAAACTATGGATCATCTTTGGTTTTAACCATCAATGAATTTTGTGATTCATAATCATCCATTAATCTACACATTTAAGAGCCACCCCTATCTTTAAATTGATAGAAGCAAGAGGTAGGTTTATTAGAGTGATGATAGATAATCAGCATAAACTGTCACATTAAGTTGTAGGATTGAGTTATATTAAAAAATAATAAAATTTTTTTTGAATGTATCTTATTCAGGGGTCTCCAAACTACAGCCTCCAAATTTTTTTTTGGTCACATTGTAAAATTTTAAAAATTATTTGAAAAATATGAAATTCAGAAAATCACTCAAACACAAGGTTACTGTAACTTTTATTAATTGATGTTTTTCTTTTTAAGAGAGATTCTTAGTTTTTTATAACTGGAGTGTCATTTATAGAATTTTTAATTATTTTTTGTTACAAGCTCACGGGATTTAGAGGAGGTGTCAAGTTGGATCCACGGGCTAAAAGTTTGGAGACCTCTGATCCTATCTGTTTATAATAATAATAAAAGGCTTATCAAATCCGGAAGTTCGATGCAGACACCACGAATCGCTCATTACACACCTCCTTCCACTGTTTGCCGACCAAATCCAGTCCTTTCGGATTGGCTTTAATGCTAGATATAGATTCTAGTCTTTAAATTCCGTGACAAGATGCACAAGCTAAGCAGTTTTGTCACAGAAAAAAACAAGCATTTCCCACCTTCAGCCTAACCTTAATCTCCTCTTCAATTTCGTTTTTTCAAGTTATCTTAGACCCTAGATACTTAAACTTCTCTACCTGTTCAAACATGTTACCTTCAATATCAATATCACCAGCGATATTGCCATTTTTTCAGCTAACCATATATTTTGTCTAATCTGTGTTTATTTCGAGCCCTAGTTCTTTACCGGCTTTCATTAATGTTGAGGTATTAAGTTTTATAGTTTCCGTGTTTTTGCTTAACATGACTAGATCATCCGCATAGCCAAGCACAGATGTTGTTCCACCCAGATCCAATCCTTTTTTAGTACGCATCACCTCCCTAATGTCATGTTCTAATGACAAATTAAACAGGACAGGAGAAAGGGAATCATACTGTTTTAAACCCGTACGAACCTCAAACTTTTCGGATAAATTATTCCCGATTCTAACTTTATTGAGTGTTTCCGTCAAGCACATCCTGATTAGATTTACTATTTTTTTTTTGGAATCCCCTGTTCAATTAGAATATTATACAGTTTCTGGCGGTCAATAGAATGGTAAGCCCTTTTGAAATCGATATACAGCTGGTGAACAACACTGTTATACTCTAATTTTTTCTACAATATTTACCGTACAGAAAATATTTAATCAATAGTTGAACGATTCTGTCTAAATCCGCATTGGTAGTCACCGACAATTTCCTCGGCATATTCTGTGATTCGACTTGATAAGATTAAAGTGAATATTTTATAACATACCTAAAGGAGTGAAATTCCGTGATAGTAATTATAATCCATCCTTCAACACTTCTTGTGAATCGGAATAAGAATAGATTCTTTCCATTCTTCAGGTAATTTCTCATTCGCCCAGATATTTTTAACCAACAGATATATTTTAGAAAATCCGGCTTCCCTCTATACCTTAATTAGTTCATAAGGAATATTATTGGTTCTCGCTGCTTTATAAGATTTTAATTTTCCGATAGCTACTTCCACTTTCTCTTTACTCAATTCTTCTATTAACGGTTCTGCACCCTGGTACTCTGAAGGAGGACACAGATCATAATTTCCCGAATTACTGTCAAAGTGGCTCTTAAACTTATTTAATATGTCTACCGGATTGGTCAGAATATTGTTATTTTCATCCCTAATTCCAGATGTTAAGGGCCCTACATATTTACGTGATCTGTTTATACCTTTGTACATGTCTCTTACGTTATTTTCGATTCTATTAGTTTCTATTTCAATTATTTTATTTTTAAGATACTCCCTTTTTTTATTTTTGAGCAATTTTGTCGTTTCGTTCTTTGAGATTCGGAAGTATTCCAGATTGTCTTTGCTAGGATTATTTAGAGCTTTTAATTTAGCGGCTTTTCTTTTTTCGCACATGTTTAAGCAATCTTCATCAAACCACGGTTTGTTATTCTTATTTTCCTTTTTTCCTAGACACGAGTTACCGACCGCTTTAATATTATCCCTGATCTCTACCCATAACTTGTCAATATCCTCGTGGTCCTCGTCAGGAAGCTCTAAAGCTTCAAACCTATTCTTAACATCTAGCTCGAATTGGTTTCTAATTGATGGATTTTTTAATTTTTCCAAATTAAAATTCTCAAAATCGAAACGGTTTTCTTTTCTCTTTTTTATATTAAGTTTTTGTCGAAGTTTCGCGATTACTAATTCATGATCCGACCCACATTCTGCTCCGCGATAAGACCGTACATTAATTATACTGCTTTGCCAGCAATGTTGTATCAAGATATGATCGATTTGATTTTGTGTTTGCGAATACAGTGATGTCCAGGTATATTTATGAATATCCTTATGTTTAAACATAGTACTTTTAATTATCAGGTTTTTCGAGATGGCAAAGTTTATCAGACGGATCCCATTATCATTGGTATATTCATGCAAACTTTCTTTACCAATTGTTGGGACAAAAACTTCTTCCCTCCCCACCTTTGTGTTTGCGTCATCTACAATTATTTTTATGTAGTTTCACTGTAGTTTATCATGAACCCATTCGAGTTTATCGTAAAATTTGCATTTGATTTCATAGTCACTGTCTTCGGTCGGACAATGCATGTTTAAGAATGCGATTTTAAACCAACATCCCTAAAATACCGCTACCGAAATTCTATCACTAAAGAATTGTACGTCCCTCAAAGCGGATAGAAATCCATTCCTAATTAGAAACAGGTACCTAAACAATGATTTACACTTCCCCTATACCAAATAGTATACTTTCCTTCCCCCATCGAGTCCTCCCTGGCCAGCGAACTTCTTGCAGAGCCACGACATCCAAATTGTACCCATTAACCTCATTCGCGACCGATTTTAACCCCCATGTTGTGTTCAAACTCCTTATGTTCCACATACTAATATTCAAATCCCTATTTTTCAACTTGCACCATGAATCCCCTAAAGCAGTCCCCACCCGGAGACCCGAACGGGGGACTAGTTTACCTCCGGATAATGAGCATTTTACCTTAGGGAGCTCCATGATTATTTGTGGTGTATGGTGAACTAAAGATATGTGAGTAGGGCGTTCAATCCTATGTCACACCCTCCAGAAAGTCTGGAGGTCCCCTCCCTCCAGCAAGACTGGAGGTCCCCTCCCTCCAGCAAATCTGGAGGGCCCCTCTCATTGTTGGTCAGCGAGTCCATCGGACTTAGCCGGGAGGAACTTCAAAGGAATTTCTATAAAAAAACGTGTTTGTGTTTCCAATTTGATTATTGTTTAAAACATTGGAAATGCATACAAAGAAGGCAACAATTTTTTAAATTTTATTTAACAGCTTGACTGAATACATAATACATTAAAAATTAAGAATAATAAAAACAAAAAAAACCTTTATATTGGCGATAATATATATTTGAATATATTTAAAAATTTGGGTGAAACAAAATTGTCAGGATTTACAGTCAAGAATTTTTATTAGGTTTCGACCCAAACATGTGTAGGCCATCCTCAGGGCTATCTTTTGGAAGTCGATGCAAGAATTGTTTTTGTCTGCCAGTTCTTGTCTTGACTTCCAAAAGATAGCCCTGAGGATGACCTAAATGTTTGGGTCGAACGTTGGATAATATAATAAAATTCTTGACTCTAAATTTTTACAACTTTTTTTCATCCTAATAATTGATCAGTCAACTAACAACCCATCTCTAAAATTTAAAAATTTATTTATTGTAAATGATTGTATCATAAATCATCACAGAAAACTTTTAAAAAAGAACTATGCTATCTTACGAACCGATAGAGCAGTAATTCTGAAAAGTAAATTGAAACACATTAGTTAAAATGAAAAATAAATAATTAAGTCCTCTACTATTAGATTTGAAAGAAAAAAAATCTAAGGTTTCTTTGTTCATCAAATAAAGCAAAATTTTATGATCTGAGAATTCAGTAATAAAAAAAAAAAAAAAAAAATGGTTTTATGGTAATTATTTAACTCTCCGTAGGGCGTGGCTGATCTGACAGGCACAGGTGTCGGATTTTTTAGCGTCACTTTTCATAGAGTACCGAGCGAAACCCTTCCTTTAGGTAGTTTCTTGTCCAGGTAGTGCGCAGGGACGGTTCTCGGCTTGAGCCCTCGGTTCAAGTCGTCCCTCATCGACTGCGGATGTGCAGGCACCCTCTTGCACCAGTCAGTTGATGTAAAGCCATAGCGACCATAATGATCGCGGAGCCTGAGGTCAGGTGAGATAAGCTTACCTGATAAAATTGGTGTTATGGGAAGTTGCAGGAGCACTGGTGGCGCTTTGGGTGGACGGCAAGAGTGCTTGCACTGCTTGGCCGTGGTGGACATAGTGATCGTGTGTTTGCACCATGCTCTCTGTACTACACCAGTGTTCAGCTGGTCATGACTTAGTTCAGTGTATAGAAGAGCGGTTGAAAGCTATGAGAGTAGGGTGATGGCCCCCTCCGTGAGCACTGGTCGTGTGCTTACATCCTTTTAACTGTCCGGGCTGTGAGGCTAGGTTGGGATGGGTTAAGACCTTCAGGTTAGGTATGATCCCTAGCCGGTGCCCGCACTCTATAGTATAGGTGTAATCACTCTGTCCAGGTAGTGCAGTTATGGCCCCATTCTTCAGTTTGTGTCCAACCATCTAGTTAGTGTGTCACATGTGTTTTGATCTGACAGGCTCACTGCGCCCTATTACGCCACAAACCCAAGGTCAGTATTTTTTCACTTTTGATGAGTAATTCAAGCACTTCTGTATTTTTTGAAACCTGTGATAGTGAAATTTCTGTCAGGTTGCATTACCTTGCTAGAATGAGAGCGTTATGCCTGTCAGGCTCATTGCACCTATTGTCTAGAAAATATTTTTTTTTTTACATTTTTCAATTGTTATTTTAGTATTTCTTTGCTTTTTAGTTGAAGGTTCGATAAAGATGAGCCGAAGGAAGTATGATTAGACCAACCCAAGTCACTTAGACGAAGTAAGGGCCTTGCTGATGTGTAAAGATGATGAAGATCCAGCATTGACTGAAGATCTTGTTGAAGAGAGTGATATTTCGTCTGATGATGAAGTTGAAGAAAGAGAAGATGGTTCAGAAACTGAACAAGAAGCTGAGTCATCAAGTGAAGAGGAAGATGAAGGTAAGGGGAGGAGGGTATTTCATGGGGCGTGAAAAATGTACAAAGCGGTACAAGAAACCTACACACAAGAGACGCCGGGCGAGACATAACATAATCACTCACTCTCCTGCAGTAAAAGGAGCTGCCAAAAATGCAAAAACACTTGCTGAATGTTGGGAAAATTTCTTTCCAAATGAAATAATGGAAATAATAGTGACATACACAAACCAATATATTTATACAGTGAAGGATAATTTTTCCAGGGAAATAGATGCCAAACTTGATTGAATTCAAAGCTTAAATTGGTTTGCTCTACTTAGCAAGGGTCTACAAATATAATCGTTTATTTTTGGAGGAATTATGGGGTAAAAATGGAGATGGAACTGAAAAGTTTGGCCTAGTCATAAATGTCAAACGATTCAAGTTCTTGCTTCATTGCCTCCGTTTTGATGACAGAACTACCAGAAATAAACGAAAAGAAGTTGATTGCCTTGCCACATTTCGTCATGCATTTAAAATGTTTGTCCATAACTGCAAGAAATGCTACACTCCTGGAGAAAACCTCACAGTTGATGAAATGTTGCCTGGTTTCCGTGGACGGTGCCTCTTCCGACTGTGCATCCCTTCAAAGCCAAACAAATATCGCATAAAGATGTTTGTTCTTGTGGATTCCAGGATGGTTTATACCCTCAACTTGGAGGTGTATGTAGGAAAACAACCAGAAGGTCTATTCCGATTGAACAATAAACCAAGTGATGTGGTGATGAGTATGGCAGAACCAAAGTTTGGAAGTGGACGTAACATCATGGCAGATAACTGGTTCACCGATTTTACCCTCATCAATTCATTGAAACAAAAATAACTATCGCAAGTGGAAACAGTAAGGAAAAATAAGCGAGTCCTGTCAGATTTTTTGTAAAGAGAAAGGAGAGAGCACAATACTCTAGCATTTTTGATTTCAATGATAGGAGAGTGTTGACATCCTACGTCCCACGCAAAAATAAATATGTGATCCTGGTTTCTTCGATGTACGAGACCAAAGACATTGATGAAAGTAGAGGAGAACAAAAGAAACCAGAGCTCATCACATATTACAATGCTCATAAAAGTGGAGTGGACACAGCAGACCAAATGTGTGGAACATACAACGTTCAACAAAACACCCAGCGATGGCTGATGTTTTTTATACCATGTTGAACTTGGGAGGGATAAATTCTATGGAAATTCACACCGACAACCAATTGGAATTAATGACAAGAAGAGTTTTCCTGAAAGAGTTGTCACATGAACTGCGTGTAGGACAACTTCAGCGAAGAAGTCAACTATCATCTGGCCTTCAAACTTCCTTGAAAATGCCGCTAAAGAGATTCCTTCCTGCTGATGATCATCAAGCATCACCCACCTCCAACCCCCCAAGAGGTCCAGATGCTGTGATTGACTGTGGAAACTGGAAAACGTCGGCTCTCGAACTACTCCTACGTGAAATGCAAATGAGGAATATGCCTTTCTCATGCAAAACCACTCTCTCTAAGATGCTATTCAGCATGCTCTTTTCCCTTATTGTTTACATTCTAAAGATTAGTGGGAAATTTAAGTTTAATTTAATATGGAATTTTAGGGACACTATGGTTTTTTTTTTTCACAGTGTGCTTGATAGGCTCACCACGCCCCAATATTGAGAACCCTTTACCGCGCCCTATGCAGGGTTAAAACCTCCAGTATCAATAATTACTAAATAATAAAATAAATTTTGAAGTTAAATTTATGTTTTACCTACTTACTCTACTTACTTTAATTCCAGTAATCAAAATTATACCCATTAATGAAGGAGGTAATGAAACTGAGATTTTATAATAATACTGAAATATGTAATTAAAGTTATAATAGTAAGTTATTAAAATCTTGATATAATAAAGTAATATCAAGTGCTAACATATAATTGAGATTACCTTCACTCCTTTTGCAGCAGCTTGAATGTAAAATGCATCAGGGAATGGAAGCATGAATGAATCAGTCAACTCTTTAAGAATATCAGTTTTAAAAAGCATAGCATGCTTCCCTTTGACAAATTCACATGAATGATCACTAGAATCTTCAAACTGAATAACCCACTCTCTTAAATTGATATGTGTATTTAAACAGATTACTGGTTTTGATGCCTTAAATGTTGCAGCAACTACTGACCTGTCCTGATAATGAATTATTTTAAACATTTTTTCTATTGTTTTCTTAGTATGAATTCGTGCAGAATCAGGCATGAATAAAACATAACTAGTGTTAATTTGATAAAGCGGAGTCCGGGCTTTGAATGAATTATTTAGACTTAATTGTAAATATACTTGCTTTACATTATGGAACAAGTGATTTGAAGAATTGAAAAATAGAGGAGGGTAAGGAGGGCCATTTGACACCACTAAGATATTAATATTTGGGTATGTTGATGTTATTGATCTTATGGTATTTGGAACATCATTTTCAAAGTACTCAAATTCTCTGAAAATAATAGTGATTGAATGTTGAATTATATCATCAATGCTTTTTAGACTGTGTTCACTAACAGGCTCTTCAGCCACAAAATTATTTCGATTTTCAATATTAGGACCTTTATTCTGACCTAATAAATCACATAAAAAATAAAATGCCACGATGTTTAATAAAATTATAACAACCGTTACAGTTTTGGTGGATCTGATCCTCATATTAATGTTAAATCAAAAGTTATCCAATAATGAATATCTAAACGAAATTGTCTCATAGAATATATGAGGTTTGATAATTAAACGAATACAGCTAATGAAATTCATATTATTTAGTTCTACAACCCAAACATTAAATGGTAACCTTACTAACACTCAAGTATAAACAAACCAATGAGGTCGAATTCTATTTTATTATACTGTAACCAAATTTTCAATACCTGGCGGGGATTTTTGTTATTATTTTAGAATTTCACTTTTTCTTGGTTTTGGCCAGACATAAATATTCACCTAGTTGGACCATGGTCAAGGGTTAAGCTCAAAAGATTCACAATGTTTAAAAAGCTCTGATGACATTTGCTTTGGTAGGAGAACTGCTTTCTGTTCTTCTTCCAGCATTTTTTTCAGGCAGCTTCAAATTCTCAATAGAGTGGATGCTATCATTAGGGATGAGGCCATTACTGGAAATTACAACCGAATATACCTGTGCATGATTCAGTTAATAAAGTTGCCGAAGTTCCAGGTACAAATCTTGATATTTTCAGATCTTTTCTGAAATCGTCTTTCCGTTATTATCATCGGCAAGGACCGCTGTATTAATGACATAGCCACTTTGTGTTTTTATGTACATTAATAAAAGTATCGGTTTGGACTCATATCGATAATGAGGAACCTGATCAGTCATGTAAAACGAGACCAGGGCTTCGTGAACAATCTTGGCTAGTGCCTTATTGTGCCGCATCAAATATTATTTACCAACTATCGCTTGACATCCCGATGATATATGATTATTTGATACATTTTTTAAATAATAAAATTTAAAAAAAACATTGGACTTAGGACTGTCCCTTATGGTAAGCCTACATGAACACTCCTTGGACCTATAGAAGTGTTGTCGAAGAGCACAATTAATCTCCAATTGAGCAACAGGTTTCTGACTGTCATGAAAATTCTGGTAGGAACCATAAGTTCTTGCATAAGGTACATCAAAAGCTTAATATTAACGCAGTTACAAGCGTTTGATTAATCTATGAATACGGCAAAGAGATACTTGCTAGAGGTAAAGATAGTGTAGATGTCAGAAGTAAGCGAATCAAGAAAATTCGGGAAGTGTTAATGGAGAAAGCTACAGCACCAATTTGTATTTCATGTTTTAAGGCATGGGGGATATTTAGAATGTGAAAATTAGGTGACGGATGCAACAGTGTTCAGAGGTACGAATGTGGACTCAGATCATTACCTCATGATTTCAAGAATACGTTCTATAATATCGCTATAACGTAACATGACAAATAAGAAATAAAAAAGGATCAACGAGCGAAAACTCAGGAACCTTCCGAAAAACTTCTTTTGACGGAATCAATGGATCGAAGATTCCAAGACCTTCAACCGGATGATGATCTTAGCCAGAGATGGAAGACATAATCAGAAATTAAAATACCACAGCCACCATAATCGTCCGCAAGATCATCGTGGATAAAGGCATATCCTGAGAAAGACAACTGCGATGAGACAAGTGCACTCATAGTGTAGTGGCTGATGTGCTGTAATTATATGGTGAAGGTTCCCGGTTCATGACTGGTTCCATCATATTCTTTTTGGGAGCGGGGTGGCCGAATGGGCTAACGCGTGTGCACAGCACCACTAGTTGCCCGGCAACCAGATAACCGAAATTATGACATTAAAAAAAGTACGAGTTCCCGTCTCGGTGCTAGCGGGAATTTTAAATTACGGTCCGGGAAAATAGCCTAAACGGAGAGGTAGGGAAGAACAAGAAAAAAAAAAACTGCGATGAGGGATTGCACCAAGACTTGGCCAGTAGTGCTATGTCAATATTATGTTTTAGCAACAAAACTTTTAAGATACTGTTTGGTAGCATGAATACGAGACCATACTACTGAATACGTAGATCTTAAGTTCCACTGAAGAATGTGTAATTTATTTTTATTATTCATAACAGACAAAATAAAAACAGTGTAATGTTTATGCATAGGAATAAAGGTGTCTTGTGTTTTTGTGGTATAAAGATTTTTAACAAAGCCTCATCTGTTTCCTGACATCACATAGTGGCATTTCTTGTGTGAAAAATTAAGAATAATGAGTGCTCAAGATTTGAAAACTGCCAAATTAGAAAGAGCTCAGTGGAGAAATTTATTTACAACTTTAGCTACTTCAGTTGAAAAGAAAATAGCTGAAAATGATCCTGAGTTCAAGAAGGAATTTATAAAACTAGAAGCAAGAGCTAAACATCTATTAGAGTTCGAGAAAAAGGAAAGAACTTTGATACTGGTTGATGAAAATATTGATGAAAAGAACTGCAGGATGAATTCGATCTATCTATAAGTTATTACGACAAGTGGATAGAAATAAAAAATAAATTTGATGATTTGGTTGAGCATTCAAATAAAACTTGGAATGATGATATTTCAGCATCTATCAGTTCTTCAAGAGAGAAATTACAGGAAGAAATACTTTCATATAACCTTTTTGGAGTTGTTAAAACAAATGTTGAGCATGATGTCAAACTTGAAAATTTAACAGATCAATTTTCTGATGGAGTAAAGTTGGACAAAATAAACATTTACAGTGTATATCCCCAGATCAAATTATGAATGCCTAGAGATATTAGAAAAAAATAATATAACATGGAGCGATGGCGATGGTGGGAGGGACAATCAAGAAGTAGAGTTGATTATTACAGCAGATGACATGGGACAAACCTGACAGAAAGGTTAGAACCAATAACTGAAAATTTTATAGCCACAGAAACTAGGCTAGGTTGGACAGTTATTGGCCAAACTAAAACACAGACACGTTCTATGCCAAGAAGACCTACGAGAGGGAGTCCTTTACAGCACTTTGACTATAGTGCAAGTGAGTCTCACCATTCAGGGGAAGCTGGAATATCTTCGACCCATTACAATAGTTTACAAGGGGTTGTCTAGATGATAGAACTACCGAGAAAACCGAATCAGGACCAGTTAAGACATTAATTCCACGTGTCATATAACCCCCTAGAGTAAAACCATCTGTCACACCTGCAGCTCGAAACAGTATTTCCAGGAACATCGCAAGAGATAGTATCAGATCTGTCGTCAATCAAAGGTCCCCTTCACAGCCAGATCTTAGTCAGAAAAGTACAAGGAGGGAAGTAACAACTGGTGGTACGAATAATTCTTCATTTTCCTCTAAAGAGGTTTTCCAAAACTGGAAGAGAAGAAAAAAAAACAGCTAAGAAGAGTAGTGTATCTCGGAGTGTTATTCCCCTCAATTGTTCCATTACACGTCTAAATGAACTTTCCTCTGACCATAGTCCTCTAATCCTTAATGTTTCACTTGAACCCGTTCCCAAACCTTCTCCACCGTCATTTATTAGGGGCCCAGTTAACTGGGACCTTTTCCGCCAAATCATCTCCGATAAAATTGATCTTAACATATCCCTCAAAACTCCCGATGACCTTGATAGTGCCGTAAATTCCTTTACTACCACAATCCAACAAGCCGCCTGGACTGCTTCCTTCCCAAAAGACTCCTCCAGAATTCCTAAAAAGACCATTCTACCCCAACACCTCCTTGACCTAATCCAAACCAAACGCCGTGCCAGATTATTGTGGCAACGTACCCGACATCCTACCGACCGCTGCTCCTATAATTATTACTGCAAAAAATTAAAACTGGAATTAGCCACCTTCAGATCACATTCCTTCAACTCCTACCTATCCTCCCTTTCTTCTCGCGACAATTCCCTTTGGAAAACCACTACCAAAACCTTAAATCCTCACCGCATTTCCCATCCCCTCCGACGAGATGATGGCTCATGGGCAGCATCTGACGAAGATAAGGCTGAGGAGTTCGCCATTCACCTATCCAATACATTTATTTCACATCCGGAATCCCATCCTGCCCACACCGTAACAGTAGAAGAACTCCTTACATCACCAATCCCACTTTCCTTGCCCCCAAAAGCTATTCATCCTTCCGAAGTGAAATTTCAATTAAAAACACTAATCCCCCGTAAAGCTCCTGGACATGATCTCCTTACCCCTCAAATCCTTCGACAACTTCCATCCAAAGCAGTCATATTCCTTACATATATCTACAATTGTATCCTACGCACCACCCACTTTCCTCTGCTATGGAAACACTCCACTATTATCCTTTTCCCAAAACCAGGCAAACCTCCCAATATCTCAACATCCTATAGACCAATTAGCCTACTCCCAATCCTTTCAAAAATTTTTGAAAAGATCCTTTTGAAACGAATCCTACCCATTATAGAATCCCAAAATATTCCTTCCCATCAGTTTGGTTTTCGCTCCCAACATTCTACTGTTCAACAAGGACTCCGAGTTGTTGATCATATTTCCTCAGCCCTAGAAAACAAGGAATATTGTTCGGGTGCATTTCTGGACATTGCACAGGCATTTGACCGGGTATGGCACTCCGGACTGCTCTTCAAGCTTAAAATCCATTTACCTCAGTCCTTGTACCTAGTCCTCCGATCCTACCTCTCTGACCGCTCCTTCCGAGTTCGCTGTGGAACAGAATTTTCCAATATCTACTCCGTTAAAGCCGGTGTTCCCCAAGGCAGCGTCTTGGGTCCCGTGCTTTACATCCTCTTTACTGCTGACATCCCTGTTCATCCCGATACTTTTCTTGCAACATTCGCTGACGACACCGCAATCTTATCATCCAACTCTGATCCCAACAAAGCATCCTTAAATCTCCAAAACCACCTCACCTTGATTGAGCACTGGTGTAATAACTGGCGCATTAAAGTTAATGAATCTAAATGCCAACATATTACCTTTACACTCCGACGCAGTTCCTGTCCACCAGTACACTTTAATTCCATCCAGCTTCCTTACTCAGACACAGTCCGGTATCTTGGCTTTCATTTAGACCGAAGACTAACGTGGAACCCACATACTAGACTCAAAAGACAAGAACTCAACCGACGATACGGCCAGCTATACAGACTACTAAACAGAAAATCCAAACTTTCTATTGAAAACAAATTACTTATCTACAAGACAATACTGAAACCTATATGGACATACGGACTTGAACTGTGGGGGACAGCAAAAGCTTCTAACATCAAACGTATTCAATCCTTTCAATCTAAAGTCCTTCGAACAATAGTTGATGCTCCGTTCTATGTAAATAACAAAATCCTACACCATGATCTTAATATCC